TTTCACCGATATACTTTTGCGCACAGTTTCCGCATTTGATGCGATAAACTCCCGAACATTCAAGTTTATAAGTCTTCTCGTGTTGCGTTGGCAGACTGGTGAAAAGTGTTTTCTTCTACTTTGTTGTCACCTTGATATTCCATTTTCCTAATAAAGGTCGCAATTGTTGGCTCAGTTGTGATGCGGGCCAACAATTACGACCTTTATTAGGAAAATGGAATATCAAGGTGGCAACAAAGTAGAAGAAAACACTTTTCTCCGGTCTGCCAACGCAACACGAGAAGACGGACAAACTTGAGTGTTCGGGAGTTTATCGCATCAAATAGATTTATTGAAGAATGCATGTGAGATATTGTCATCCTATTTCGTCTCGAAAATCTGCTTAGCAACGAAACGAAAGTAGTCTCTTCCTTATCCAACGGATAACTTTTGTTTTTCTTACAGTAAACGAGTTTTCGGCTGGGCCGTGCAATTATTACCTGAAATTGAAGTCTAACCCGATCCCATAAAATGAAATCCTTGTTTGCTCATGCCTTATCTTCCAGTCGAGATGAAATTTGTGCAATTAATGACTAATTTAGACAATATATATTCGAGTGGTACAGCCAAATGTTTATTTCTCATCAGCATCCTTTTTGACAATACTCCCAAATAATTCTTCTCTGGTTTAGTCCTCGTGGGTGCTTGTTGTCAGCCCGACGTGGGCTCCTCAGCCTCCCCCGCTTCGCCACTCCTACACTCGCCCCTTGAGTGTGATTGGAAGAGAATTTGAACAGAAAACCTGTGTTTTGTCGGCTTTCATATGCACATCTCAACCCAATTCGGTTTTCCCTTTGCTCACTAAAATATCTACAAAAGCTGACCCACCTTCCTTTTCTAACACACTGGTCAATTTCATCTTTCTGTATGTCCTCTTCATGAAACCAAACAAATGCTCCAGCCTTTCGTTGCCATGCCGCCATTGCTTGGAACTTGTCCTCACTCGTCTTGAGGAGGCGACTCGGCATCACGTTTCGAAGTAGATTTGTATGATTCAAAGCATGGTGACCGAGGCAGTGGCATCTCCCATTTCGTAAAGATTCCTCTTTCTTTCGCCCTTGGAAGCGATAATTGAGAGTTGCGCGGAGTTGTCGCCTTGACGATCGTACATCTTTGACATGTTCTCGGTAGATGTGTTGCTCTGCTGCGAGCAAATCCGCTCAAAAACGTCCTCCCTCTGCTTCCGGTTAGCTCAATCATCACATCTTTCTGTGCCACACTCTCATACGAGGCCAGAATCACGTCAAAATAAGCATTAAAAAAAGAAACGTAGCCAAAACTTCGAGGCCTACCGGAACTTTCAGAGCGCCAAATATGCTGATTGCCGTTTTGCCTGTAGATTGCCTTTCCATAGCTGTACCTGAGGAATTGCCTGCTCTGTCTTCGTTGGAGTACTGCAGGAGGGAGAGAAAACAAACAAAAGAGAGAATAAGAGAAGAAAAGCAAAGTAAAGCAAAGAGAAGCGGCACATCTTCCCGTGCCTGTGGCTCATTAAAAGATATCTTTGACTCCCCTCAGAGATGCCGACGAGACCCAAGAAAAACTGAAATTATGAACCGGTTTGAAGGCATTGGGACCGCCGGTCGTCGATGGTGAGTTCAATCATTCTTCACACCCATCGTTGATGACCAAACAAGCCCTGTCCGCTTGCGAGAGACTAATCCTTCTTAGGCCAAGGCACTACTGAATTCCTATCAGTAGAGCGAGTCTATCAATTGCTTGCGCAGAGACTAGCCGATGCTCAGACACTGACATCCTCCTGACGTACGAAGAACAATTTAGCTTTGATATATCGTCTGAGACAGTATTTCGAG